ATTTAAATCGAAGGCTGGCTGTTCTGAGCTGTAAGCTGCAGACCTCCGGCAAGACTTGAATGAGTAGCCTATCTTGTGGGTATGCTGTCACTGTAAAATGGGCAGCTAAGTCAGTGTAGCACTTACATTGTTACTGCCTTTGCCCTGTAAGGGTCTTGAATTACCAGCCATAACGTTGGTATGGCAGGTCTCCCTATGGAACTTATGTTTTATTATGCTTTTTTTTTTCCCCAGGTGATTCACCGCTGGGTGCCTTGCAGCAGAGATCCAAGTAGTCGGTCCCATATAGATAAAACCATCCTGCTGGTTCAAATCGAAGATAAATACGTTGCTGTTGTTGAAACTGGAGTCCTTGAACTTGGGGCTGAAGTGTAAAAATCTCTTTGATACTGAAACTTCCCCTTCTCCAATGGTTCAGAAGAGAGAAGGGTCCAGAAGCAGCTCCCAGGACACGAAACTTCGGTCCAGTTGTAGGAAAGGACTTGAAACACAGATTTGTCTAAGTCCCTTTCCCACAATAAACAAGTGTAAGAATTTTTTTAAGTTGTTAGCTGCTGAAGAAACATTTGCATGAAGGATAGATTTGTTGAGACATATCTTTTTGTTTATAAATTTTGTTTATGCATTGCGTAATGCTTTAAATCAACAAACTTTTCAGTTCTAAGATCAGAGCACCTCATATTTTTCTAATTGTTTTGCCAAAAATTGCTATGTCTTGTCACAGAGTGTGTGGAATCCATCCACCTTATTTTAAAGAAATTGACTACAAACCTTCAGTTTGGTGAAGCAGTGTAAAGGTTTCAGGTGTGGCAAGAAGAGACTGAACAGATGTATAGATTCTTATTCCTTATGAGCTAAACATTAATGAGAACTGCACTAATTTTTTTACAGCAATGCACTAAAAACAACCCTGAGATTGCTGAGAACATTTATTTATATATATAAATATAAGTATATAAAATACCGTTATTTAAATTGCCTTTGGGATTAATCCCCTCCCTCTCCATATACATGTTGATGGTAAGGGCTGTGCCATGGGTTTGGTTCTATGTTCTGTATTTTGTACAAGTGCATTTGCTGCATCCTCTTCATAATAAATGGTAAAATAACAAAAATATAGAAGAGCACCTGAGTATCCCTGTACTACATCAGACTCTCTTGTGGTGGCAGTGGTACCTCAAATTTGTACAAAATGTCTAGCTTTAAAGTGGACCCCCATACAACTTCCATCTGTCCTCCCTTCGCTAGCCATGGCTACTTTGCTTCTCTATACCCAGAGCTGGCTATGTTGTTTCATTGGCTCTTCTCTGGCAGGGACAGTTGTTGGAGGTTTTTTAGGGGAGGTGCAGGTCCATGGTTACTTCATGGATGCCTGAAGGGATTTTTTTATTCCATCCAATTCAAAAAGACAAAACAGCAACAACAAAACCCCAAAAACCAAAACAGCAAAAACTTGACTTCAGCTTTTAAAGAGCTTTTATAGAAGGCACAGCCCTACACTTGTATCACTTTTACCACCTTGCCTTTTCTTTCCCTTTAGTCTTCATTCTTTTCTATGACTTGAATTTTATTTTCTGTGATTATATATCTATGTAAGTGTAATTTGAGTATTTATAACTGTGAAGTTGAATTATTCATGTGTTACATATCCTAGGTTTTATTGTATTTTTTTAAAAGTGTGTATTCAGGGAAACAAGTAACTCAGAACTATCATGGGAGTGTGAGAGGGAAACTGGTTTGTTCTTGACTTGCAGTTCCTATGACTCACTTCTCTTAATCCGTAAGAAAAAAAATGTACCTGTTGTGATTGTTTCCTGTTTCTGACCTGTAATTAGGTAGGACTCTGTGGGGAAACTGCACACAGTCCTAGCTTTTGGGAGCAGCCATCTTCTTCCGAGTCACCTCTGCTTCTTTATGTGTAACGTAACCAGAAGAGACCTCTGATACACAACAGAGGTTACTGTAAGTGTTTCTCTGACATCGGAGAAACCTTGTCCATTATGTACCTAATGTAAGAGTGAAATTATATGGGATGTGGAAAAAAACAAAGGAAGAAACAGCTACCTGAGAATACTGGTACTCCAACTCGAGTCACTGTATGCCATCTAGCCGAGAAAGGGTAAGTCTGTGTGCCTGGTAGCTGGTCAGTTCTCAGTACCGTTCCCAGTGAGCTATACTGGGACCTTGCTTACATCATACACTATGCAAACTTGTACTCTAAATACTGTGCGTCTTACAGTTGCATATTACTGTTTGGTTCGTGCATATGCAGTCCCATTTAATCTTGGTGTAAAGGCACAGTTCTGGATCTGCCACCATTGAAATAATTCTGCTGTTCCACATAGTTTATCGTATGTGCACGTTCCAGTGTAGTTGAATTCATCTCCGGTGTATCTGAAAATGTAGTGCAGTAGATGAACCTGCTTCAGCAGTCTGGTAATGTTGCTGTCAGGAAAGAAGAAAATGTGTGAGTTTTGAATTGAAGGTGGTTTGGTTAAGGTTTTATTCTGTGTCAGTCCCTTCAGGTAATTGCAGGGTTCCCTGTATCACTAGGAATAATTGCCTCATGTTAGAAAGATAAATTTGTTTGAAAATAGGCCCCCTTTTGATATTAGTTGCACAAGGTTTTTTTTCTCGTACTGTAGCCTTGAGGTAACCAAATGACTGAAATACAAAATACATCCCTTTTTTATTTTTAACTTGACTGAAGCAACTTTCAGTGCATTAACCCTGGCTCTGAACAATCTCCTTCACTCTCTTCAGGGCAAGATAACGACAATGTCCGTTGCTGGTAATAACCATGGTAGGAATTAATGGCTTGTTAACATAAACATTCTGTGGAATATGTGACCGCCTGGAATTAGATCAGCAAACAGCAGACTGGGGAAAAGGAAAGGCTTTTTGTAAGGGGCAGAGAGAATTGATGGGTCTTTCAGTTTCTTATTTATTTTTAATCGTAAGGCTTTAGGTGTGTTGCCTTCAGGAGATGGATTTTAATGTGGCCGAGTTTGTGTCTTGGTTTCCACTGTACAAGTGACAACAATGTGTTTCTTTTCTCCTGACTCCCCACAGTGTCGATCTGGCCATGGAAACCTCTCTTCTAGATTGAGATAACTTCATCTTTTATTTTCTTCAGCCTTTGTCTCGATGCATAATATTTTTCTCCTGTTGAGAGCATGGAGATGAGTGTTTTCAAATCAGTCCTGTCAGTCCAGATTGAGTGAAGTGTAGAGCAGACTTTCTTTGTAAGACCTTTGGAAGCTTTCATAGGAACCCCAGTGTAGAGGAGTGCTTTAACTCTGTCCACTTGCATTGCTGTGATACTCTCTTGCCATAAGAACATTCCAATTAAGTCCCATTGGTTTAGCTACCAGGTAGATCCCAGTCTATTTTGTTTCTCTTCGATTGCTTTAAAGGTGGTATTTGACATAAAGACTGACTGCTCCCTGAAACAAGTAATTACAAAAAAAAGTGCTTGAAACCCCCACTAATCCGACTTTGTTCATTGGTAAAAACGGCTGCGACTTTAATTTTTTTAAAAACCTCTTCCCGTTTCACCTCCCTGTGAAATATTTTTAAAATGTTCTGATTAAAACAAATGAGCAAAACCCTTCAATGTGTACGTGACAGCACTGATGACACCTGGACTTCTGTGCCGCTTGCACTGTGTGGTGCTTGTGATGGGTTCTGGGGATCTCTCTCATGATTCAGAATTCGAGAAATTTTCAGAGTTGAAAGGAAAGCAAGGGAAGAGGTGATGGTGATGCTTTGAGAACTCCATGTAGGTCGAATGATCCTGTGGCCACTTTGCCTGGGACACTGGGCACGTTTCTGAGTGGCAATCTGTTTTCCAGTGGGCTGTGTAGTTCATCACCACGCATTCCTGACCCCTTTCACAACCCCTCTGGGACCTGAAGATCTCTGTGAGAAGCCTAGATGACCTTTGAGGTGACAGATGAAGATTTGTGAGGCGCAGGTCCGTGCCCGTGGCTGTTTGGCAAGTGGCCGTGAAGCTTTGTCTGGACTTGGGAGAGGCGAGGAGAAGAGATGCCTTACAACTGGATTCAACTTCCAATGCACACACCACCATACGACCTCGGGGTGTAGATACACAGACGCTGCTTTAGAGATGTTTCTCAGTTACAGAGCTCTCCACCCACAAAATGAAGCAGGGTTGGCTGCATTTCTCACCATTAACAATATTATTCAAATATTATTCAACTTATATTGAATTTGAGGTTATACCACCACAGGTTTTATGTACTTGATTTTATTAAGGAATTTTATACCTATTATATAGGCAACTATTCTTTTCTTGTCTGGCTTGCTATTTGATAATCCAATGCAGTACATTCAGTGATGCTGGACTCTTTCAGAAATTATACTGGTAATTACCGGTGCCTTAGTAAAATAGTGGGTACATAACACCTTGGTGGAAAATAAAGCATGTGGCTTGTTGCACCCCAGCATGATACGCGTATTTCCAAAAAGGTGATTAAGATGGCTGCTCCAAAAGATTTCAGGAGTATACGTACATCACTCAGTCACAAACATCTGAATATGAGCAATTTTTATGACTTCTGCTATGTACAGTTTGAATAGATAATCCCAGTGCACCTAGTCCACAGCTCGGAAAAGCGATGATCAAACGGCTGGCCGCGTTAACTGGTTACACAGACGCCCCCAACAGCGTGACCATAAACTGCTGGTTAGGAAACGGAGGGAGAGGGGAGTAGAGCATAAATGGGAGGACTAAATGGTTTGTAATGGACAATGAAAATACTTATTGCCTCTACCAGCAAACGGATACCTTGCCAGGGATAGGGATATATGTACCTGCGTGTCTGTGAGTGTGTATGTGTCTGCGTGTGTTCTTGGAAACAGCCTGTAAATATCGTAGCTGTTCAAAATGGAAAAGGCAAGAGTTTTTTTGCAACGTGTTGCAGCAAAAGGACAGTATTGACAGTGGAGAAACACTGAGAAATAAAAAAAACCTTTTTTTTTTTCCACTTGGTGTCATTTATTGCACAAATTCCTTCGAACGACTTTTTAAGTTAAATCACCTCTTAATGAAGGGTTCTCTTATTTTCAAGTTATTTCTTTTATGTAGCTGTAGTAGTAGAAAGGTGGGCCTCAGCTGTTCCTGTTTCACTGCCAGCTTCACACCTGTTTTCATGCTTTTATGTAGGTACGAGTGCCACGTGTCCTCCCTTCTACAGCTAAAAATGTTTTTCTCTTGCATTTGTTGAAGCGTTTTCTCTCTTTATTACCATTTTCCTTCTCTGAATCCTTTTCAAAGCCCAGAACACTGTTGTGTTGTCTTAGTGCTCAGTAATTTTCCATTCTTCATACTTCCCAGGGGAATATTTCACCTAGCGTGGTTTAATCAGTGACTTCTAACTTTCCGCCGCCCTTGATCTGACAGCCAAGTGCAGCACTGGGACAAGTCCTGATGAACACTGCGCTTACATGGAGCACTTGTTGATACAGTGATACCGATTTAAAAATACTCAGCTGCCGTCTGGGCACTGGCTCAGATTTCTTCACTCCAGTACAGAGAATTACAGCATTGTCCTGTCCCCTCCGAGTTAGAAGTGAATTTTTAAGATGTAAAAATGACGGTGCTTTTATTCATTGAACAGCTCCGGGTGTTTCCAACTAAAGATTGGACGTTTCCTTTTTTAAAAACCAAAACAAACCATTACCCATCTCCTGGAACTTGCTTGTGTTTGCCTGTACTAGACAAGGTGAGCTGACCAACAGCTGCTGCAGGCCTTAATTACAAATGGAGGAGTACAAATATAACAAATGTTCTTCAGGAAAAACAAGTCCTTCTTAATAAAAGCTAGAGAGTAGTAGTGAATAGTTCAAAAATCTCTGTAACTGTTGTGCTTACAAGAGCCAGCTGAGGTTCCAGCTGTATTTTTAACAGTGAGAATACCAGAGCAGGACATGAGCAGCAC